CATGAGTCCGAGTTGGCATAGGTCTGAGTTGGTTTGGGTCCGAGTTGACTCGAAACCGTGGCAAGGACTCTCACTCCCGATCCATCCTTACTAGCCACACATCCGTATACGCAATTTCGTGTACGACATGGTTCTCAGCTATGAGTACCATTGATCGCTGGCTGAGTACACACAGCATTGGGCCGGGGGCGAGGCTTTGGCGTGTGTTGGTGACAGTTGGCCTAGTTTAGTTAGTTACATACTGCACGCAAGCTGAGTCTACTGCCAGTACGAGAAAGCTAAAATTCATGATTTGTACAAATCCTGGCCAATTTTTAGCATGTATTATGTGTTAACAGTTGGACTTAAAGTAGACAGAAAAAAGTTGTCCACAAAATTCAATAGAAGTTAAGGGACCCGGCAGTTCCGTGTCGAGGGGAGAGGGTATTATCCAGCAAGGCTTTAGCACATTTCTGTTGCTATCAATTTACTCATATCTGTTGATTTGTCCCATTTTAAAGTTAAGTTGTACCAAATAAAAAAATTTTTTGTAGAGATGAGAACTTTTCAAAAACGTGGTGGCACAGATAAGTATGTTTTAATAAACTAGACTGATATGAGAGTCAATAACGGGGATTCACAATCAGGATCTCACAATCAATCACCTAGTTTGAGATTATTGAGTATTTTGAAACTGCACATTGTTGGGGATCCATCGCCCAATAACCAGACACAGCTCCAGCATGACAACTTCAACCTCCTGCAAGCCAATGAATTTTAAGCCCACTGACAAAACTTTTCCCCAACATTTCTTCACTGGTGAAAAACATTGACAAGAATATCGGAAGGCACTTATGATTACAGAGGACTCCAACAGCTACATAGTCCATGTACACATGAATTTGATTTTCTAGCTGTTTGATGTACATGTAGGCCTATGGGAGGCTGAGGATTTAGAGAGCATCTCCTTCCCAAAAAATCCCCTTATGGTTATGAATTAGGAGATTTTTTAAAACTTCGACACAGTCTAGCTACCTGTCCATTGCTCTAAAATCCAAGTCATCATTGCCGATTACTAGTTCAGTCTGCTTATTGTTTGTTTAGTTTACGAATAAAAAAAGGAAAGGCTGATCAACACCACGATTTGTGTATGATCACTACTTACCGCACATGCGCGCCAGTACTGCCTCTGCATACTGTGGTCCTGATCAGTATAGCATCGCTCTTGCCTGTTGATCATTATCATCATGCGCACAATGCAGTCCTCTTTTTATTCCTCAATTATCAAGATAAGTTACTGTTTCATTTTAATAAAAATCTGATCTCTACAATTTTGTGTATTTATACATCTTTAGCCAATAAATCTCTATGAACAAATTAAACATGTTAAACACTTCAAAGAGAGATCGTTGATGAACTAACCCCGTACAAGAACCCAGCATATACAAAGCCTTCTATGCTAACCGAGGTTATTCTTATAAAAAAGCAGGTTGTGTCACAAATTTATGTTTATAAACGAAATATAAAGAAGAACAAAATATGAACATTTTAGGGGTAACCAGTAGGGGGTTAATTGGTCAGTCTAAAGCCCCCAATCCGACCAAAACAGAACTGCATTTTCTTACAATATATCGGCAGGCAGGTTAAAGCCAGGTACCAGTCACGGCCTCTGTGAAGCAGGCTTGCGACAGACCTTCACTGGAAATCGCGCATGGGTAGTGAGTGCACGCAGCTCGGATTCCTGTATGTGCGTGAACTTTACAACTTGAGAACGGATGAATTACATCTACAAAAGTAACATTGTCTCTCACTTATTTTCCTTGATTTTGCAGTCCATGGATGGTCTGAAATTCCTAACCCCCCCAATGGATAGATAAGGCCAGGAAAAACTTGTAAATGTGAAAAATTAGTTTCTTCAACAAGGTAAACCAAGATCAAATTAGAACCTAATTTGTAGTCGTTTTGTACACAACTTTTATACCCTGGACATCAGTCTTAATGAAATGAAGACAATGTCCAACCTGGGCTTTGTATCCTCCTACCATTCTTGAGTGGAATGCCTTGCCATCTGTAATTAAATGAGCTCCAAATGTGAAAACGTTCAAGGCAGTGTTAGATAACATCTAAGTAATGGGGGCGATGCATGAGGGACTTTGCACACGTTAACAGCCACATCTGGGGCAATTTGTGCAGGATACTGATCAAGATTAAAGTTGAACTGCATGCAGAATCATGAGAATCAAATTCAGTTCACCCCGATACTTCCAGCATGTTCAGAACTGTAACTGTAAGGTTTATACAAACAAAACGAAGTAGCACCCCCAGACCTGTGTCCCGGCTTTGCCTTTTTTCCATAGATGGGTGACTTCCCCCCCCCAAATCAAAATTCATTCTTTTCCTCCCTCCTATCCACATTTAAGGTGGCAGATATCAACAGAAAGACAAACAGATGTGTCTCTCTTCACTGTGGCCAGTGAGTATCACCCTGCAGAGAGCTTTGCAACTGACCGTCCGTCAAGCCAAGCTTTCTTTCAGCTCGCCGAACTGCAGCAGGCCAGCGAGCACAGCTGCCGACAGCATGAAGCTTGATACACCAGAGTTCCGTGCCATATTCACGCCAGAGTTGAAACAGCTCGCCGAGATCTTCAGGCTTAACAACCACGAGCTGAAGATTGCTGGTGGTGCCGTGAGGGACCTACTCATGGGGGTATATTCAGATGTTTCAAATATGGGTTCAAATTCTCACCCTGGGGGCAATTTTACGATAGAATGTGATTGATTACGATTCTAATTTATAAATGGACAGTGAATCCTGGAAAATCCTCCGAACCCTCTGGTGGGGTTTGGGAGATGCCAGCTGGTTAGGGTTACTGAAAGCAATAATTGATCTTGTTGGCTATTCCTAGACAAAAATAAAACATACATGCATAAACAGAAAAATTCACATCAATTAGATGCAAAATGTTCGGTACCTCTCAAACTCATTGAAAAGGTTCTGGGCCTTCAATTTATAGCACATTCAAATCCCTCTCTTTAAAGTGAATCATGCACATCAATGCCTCAGAATGCATTAGAAAATGTATTTTCTAATAAGCCATATAAAAGAGCAAAGACCTTACGTGTTGAGGTGCTGTCAGAGACCGTTTTTTGTCATTTTAATGTAGTTTCAATAAATGCACAAAAGGTTTACTTGCACGGACATATGTAAAAAACCGGGACTTCAACACCTTTGTATGAAAAAGAAGCCAACCAGCGGCCATTTTACCAAGCCGAATACAAAAGCATGGGTTGGCTCCCTTCTATTGACGTCAGGAAGAACAAAGGCGGGCATTGCCAGAAATACCCTTTAACATGACGTCATATGCACAAGGTCTTTTGTTGCAGGTTGAAATCCCTCACTTTTCAGTTTTTTGTACATCTTTGTAATACCAACTGTTTGCTTTTTCATTCACCACAAAATTGTCCCATCTTCAGAAGCAACCGCAGGACATCGATTTTGCCACCACGGCCACGCCCGCTGAGATGAAGGAGATGTTCGAGCAGGAGGGCATCCGAATGTTGAACACCAAGGGGGAACAGCACGGCACCATCACAGCCCGGCTGAACAACCGGGAGAACTTTGAGGTCACCACGCTGAGGGTGGACCGGGTGACGGACGGCCGACACGCCGAGGTGGAGTTCACCAGGGACTGGAGGACGGATGCTGAGCGGCGAGACCTCACTATCAACTCCATGTTCCTTGGTGGGTCTACTGGGTTTGTTGAGGGAGGAGGTGTGGTTTTGAGATCACTCAATCTCCAAAATAATCTGTCTGACCCACTGCGCATTCTCCAAAAAAGGTTGCCCATATTCTTCTTCTTCAAGAAGTGTTTTCAAATTTGTGGTGAATATGCAAACATCACTCACTTTATTCAAAAGAGCACTCAAAATCTACTTCTATAATTTCGCTTCTGACACCAGATTTTAAATACAGTGCTTGCATGCATTAATTTTGGTATATCCTTTTTGTGTAGCATCAAAAGCACTTGTTATTAGGTGGATATGTGTGCTCTATTAAAGTTCATTCATCTTCCAACATTTCCCAACATGTCAATTTTGTTTCCTCCAACCTTCAAAACTTCTACCTTTAAACAGTGCTTCTCAAAATGAAGTCCGTGAAAGTTACTTTTCACCCCTCTGTCTTTATCATTGTGCTCTCTAACCAACAAATCCATTAATAAAACTGTGCAGGTCTTGATGGCACTCTGGTTGATTTCTTCAATGGTAAGGAGGACCTGGAACACCACAGAGTGGCATTTGTTGGAGATCCCACTGCCAGAATCAGGGAAGATTTCCTACGAATCTTGAGATACTTCAGGTAAAAAAAAATAGCCATTGCCGTCATGACTGGCAATCAGCTGTACTTTCATTCTGTGGTGTCATCACTGGAAATCGTGACGTTTCATAAATGTACATATACACATGTATACGCTTGAATCAACTTATGTGGTACAAAGATGCCATGACTACTTGCCATGAAGCTCATTGGTAAAAGTATAAAAAGGAAAGTATTCATCATTCAAAGTCAACTATGAGCTCCAATTACAATACGCAGGATGTTACTCAACTTAACAAAGCAGGTTGCAGGTCACCAGCACTGGCAGCAGAAGGGGGGGACACTTTTGACTCAGCATACCTCCCCCAACCACTCTTTGCAGGTCCTCTAATGGGTCGGGGTTAAATGGATCGGCCAATTAATGGCGAATGCCTCACAACTGGCCCCCCTACATTGAAAATCATTCCACTGCTGTTGGTCACCAGAGCAACTGTCCAGTTGAAGGCGTAGAATCTTGGATACAGTGGCGTAGCCATAGGGGGACCTAGGGGCACACGTGCCCCCTCCCCCACAAAAAAAATGGATGAATGGGTATTGAACAAAGCTAACAAAAGCTTGCCCCTTAAAACCACACCACTGAAAGCTGGTGGCCCCCATAAGACGCTGGTGCCCTCCTTGTGCCCCTCCCACTAGTAAAATCCTAGTTATGCCACTGCTTGGATAGTGTACATCATTGGGAACCCTTCCCCGGCAGCAAGTGTGGGCCAGTTTCTGTACATGAGGATTATGTACGCTCGTATCATCCATCGTGCTTGATCAGGAACCATGTGAATCAGCCTGCATATGTGCGTGCTGTAACAGTAGTTGCAACTACGATGAGACTGCGCGCCTATGGCGGTGGGAAGCATAAATTATGGCCACTCATTCATAATCGTCATTTTTAACATGTTTCTGAAGCGTATGCAACCAATTAACCCCCTCCCACCCAGCGTACAATTTGTACGCTCGTGAAAATGACAAAAATGGATGACCCCGAGGGATAAGCTCTCTCGTCAGAACTTTTCTTTGCACCCAGATTCATCTGCTAGTACCACTCTACACTCTCCGATTTGCTCGACAAATTTCCTTATCAAATCCACACCACAGATTTTATGGCCGCATTGCCGACCAGCCCAACCAGCATTGCTCTGAGACACTGCAGGCCATCCAGGAGAATGGTGATGGCCTGGCGGGCATCTCTGGTGAGAGAATCTGGCTGGAATTGAAGAAGATTGTGACGGGGAACCATGCGGCGAGTCTGATGGAATGCATGCATGATCTGCAGCTCACCCAGTACATGGGTAAGTGATTATGGTTGTGCCAGCTATTTCTCCATGGAAGAGATCTTCCTCTGTCTCCACATGCTTTTTGACTGCTGAATAAGTACATGATTGACAGCCAGTTGACAGATGGATGTTTCATCACAAGCAGCAACATTGCAAAGAAGAGCGCTTGCAAATGAGCATGGATGAAATTGCTGAAGTACAACCACGTTGCACACCAATTGCAGATGCTGCTGCTGTGCAACACATCGTGCATGTGAGCCGATGATGCTATCTAAACTTTGTCAACACATTTGAATCTGTTGCTGACTCCACACACGTGTGGTACCTTGACTTCGCCATCATTCATGTCATATTGGTGTAAGGATTTGACTTGCATTGGGACTTGAATTGGGAAGATTGACTTGTGACTTTACTGACTGTACTTGGGACAAAATGGCTTGTAATTTGACAAGGGAAAAGTTGACTTGCGACTTGACGGAAAATGACTTGGTTATCAGAGTGCTGCTGGGTATCCTTGACACAGCTGTACATGAACTTCCGTCTGCCAGAAATCTAATGAGGGCAAGGCAGACACAAAAAATTTCCTAGTGCTTAGATAGGTACGATTTTTCTTAAAACACAGAGCGTTAAAAACTCTCTTGGAAAACTTCTATTTTAGGCCTACCTCCCCTGACCAACATCACCAATTTCCGTCGTGTTTGGGCAAGATCTAAGTCACTGGACCCCAAGCCTATGACCTTCCTGTCGTCCTTGCTCAAGACTGACGTGGAGGTTCTACAGCTGGAAGCTCGTCTCAAGATATCGGCCGATGAGAGGAAGACGGCGCTGTTCATTATTACAGAGAGGGACGACAAGTACAATGCCAGCAATCCACTGAAGCCATATCAAGACCTTGTTGTTTCGGTATGGGCAAACTTTACTCACTGCGTTATGGTGTTGCATTTATCTGTCAGGTTGTCTGGTGGTCAAATATTAGACATTAAGTAACTGAAACACAGATCCTTGTCATTTGAATGGTGGAACTCATGTCACATGACATTTAGTATTGCTGCCATTCACCACATTCTCTCTATTGCATAGAAGTGAGTGGCAAATATCTTAAGACGGCACATCCATCACTCCACCAACTACAGTATGCTACATTTTTAAGGCTCTAACAGGATTGGGTAGAGCCCAGCTTCCCAAGTGCAAAATTGTGACATAGATTCCTTCACAAAATCTTCACAAAAAAGTCACAGGGGCAAAGGTCAAAATCTAATCATATTTTGTCTTCAAGCAAACGTGAATTCTGGATCCCAGTTGGTCAATCCATGGCAATAGACTATGCTATTTATACAGGTATCTATATGCCTGCCTAACAGACAACACCATTATGGGCAGCTCAAGTTGGCCAAAAATTCGCCCATGATTTGCAATGTTTGCCTCAAAATGCATTTTAAACATGTACTTCATTAGTGTTACCATGGGAAGCTTTTTTGTGCACTAGTTGCCATCACTCGGTGTTTTATTATGTCCCTGAAATTTTTTAAGCACTCACTGAATAATTCTCATGGTTCTGCTCTCACGGCCAGCTATAGTTTTACCAACTACTGGTTCTCAAAAAGTGCTTGCAACCTAGCAAAAAAAGATCTACATGTATGTGCCACAGTCTATACGGTACTCCCCATATTACACCATTTCAGGAGTTTCATTTGGATAACTGTAATTATTTCTTTGGGGCAGCTCCAAGGGAAAGAAAAGAACATCCTTGCGTACACCCAGGAAGTCCTGAAGTACCGAGGGGACAAAGAACTGTTGGAGAGACTCAGCAGTTGGGAGATACCCAGGTTCCCCATCACCGGCAAGGACCTGATAACCGCGGGTGTTCCCAAGGGGCGGGAGTTTGGGCAGATTCTGGAGAGACTGAGAGAAAGGTGGATGGAGAGCAATTTCAGGCTCAGCAAGGAGGAGCTGCTGAAGACGCTGGATCACACGACAAAGAGCGGCAGGTGATGGAAGAACTGAAGGCTTGTAAGAACTTGGCAGAGATGTGGCGGAGAGTGCTGGGGTCTTGACTACTGAATATTTGAGTAGGTCCTGGTGGATTTCTTTCAGAGTTTACATTTACATGCATTGTAAGTCCCAAAATTAGTCCAGTTCTTGGCTGTGAAGTGGTCTGAAAAGGCCCATTGCTAAAAAACTGAAGTTATTCAACTGGAATCTTCTCTGAATATTTTTCATTATCCTGCGCTACTTGTAATTATGCATGTAGTAAAATGCTAAGAGTTAATTCCAACAAAATCTTCAATATTACCTTTGTTAATTTGTTCAAAACATTGGGACTAAATGTCATAGATATGGCTTACACAACAATAGTACATGTACCAGTGCATGTATGTGTTATGTATGAAATATTGGTCTAAGAAATGGAGAAATACTGAAGCATTGTAGGTCACCAAAATACCATGCAAGATTTTTTTATTTCAGTCAACAATGGAAACATTTTGTCTGCATTTGTACAAAAGAGTTACAAAGTAAACACAGGCGTTTATTGTTCAGTTGTAATTATATGAAATCATTTCATTTTTGTCATTTTATAATAATTCAACAGAACAGATAAGAAAACCAACATGCATTTTCAGTTTAAAATCCAACAGGGTTCATAGTGAAAACATGAACACTCTGAATCTTCTTCAATACTTTTCAAAGGGAATTTTTTTCAACTGAAATTACAGTCTTCAGTAAACAGTTATCTGATATAATATAGATTCACTTTGATATATAGCAGATTTCCTGAGATATTTTGGTGAAAATACCAATATCTGGGACTTGTTTAATAAAAAATCTACACGACACTTTACTTTCAATCAAGAAATGCCTATTACAATAACAATGTACAACATACACAAAGTATACTTTAATTTTTACACATCGAACGTTTTCCTATTTGTTGTGACTCAATTCAAATGTTTGGCAGAAGACTGACAGTGACCACAAAACCCATGAATAGCGTAAACATCATCAGTGGAGTCAGGAAACCGTACACCGGCCAAATAGCAATGTTGAGACTGTAAAGTAAAATAAAAAAATGTACAAACAAAAATCTGTTGTCAATGTCGCACTGCTTTTGTATGACACTGCAAATTAACAAGAGCTTTGAATCTACGTGTATCTCATGATTATATGCATGTAATGACACAAGATAAATTTTTGATTTCACTGCTTGAGGTCCTTGGTTTTGAACATGGACAAGAATGTTAAAGTTTTTCCCCAGTGTGAATATTTAATTGATTGACATCAAGTTTAACACGTTGTCAAAGGGAGCATTTCATTCAGCTGTCAACAAGTGAACAAACAATGAGCAACTTCCAAAACAAAAAACAGCAACAGCTTTCTTGAAACACTCACCAAATTGCACCAAAGACAAATGTTCCAGTTGCCAGGGGTATAGCCATGGGAGATGCTTTCTCCCAGTCACTGTTTTTCTTGATCCAGCTCAGGAAGATTATGAGGTAAGAACCGATGCTGATGTGGACGGCCATCAAAATTAAACCTAAATACAGCCAGGTTCTGAATGACGATCAGACACAAAAGTGAAGAAAAAATATGAAGTTACCTGAAACAGTAATGTCAAGATAGATGATTTGCCAGAATGGTACTTTTTTGCTCCCTAACTTTGAAAAAAAGTTCATTGAACTTTTGCAATAACAAGTTTGCTTTAATAACAAAAACATGTAACCAGACTGTATAGTGCCTTTTAGGACCTCATTTATTTTGTTCTGGAAATGTAACTGGCCAAACGTCATGGCAACTCAACACTGGACCTGACTGAGTGACTGGGCAGTCGCTCGGCATCAAAACAAGGGGTATGCAGTCCCCAGAATTACCAATTTGGCCACAATAATATACACACCCACCAAGAAGGGTCAGTTTTTGTGTTTGAGGTGTGAGGGCATTGGGCAGTAATCAACAAAATAGGTTATGACCACACTCTGCTTTCACAAGCTCATAAGCTTCATGGGTAAAGGGAAGCAATGTAGTTGATGTAAAGTGTCCTGCCCAGGAACATAAGTCTTCTTATCCTTCGACTGTGAGACTATCAATTTACTGCAGTGGTTTTACTCTATTTCAAATACACCTCCACAGTCAAACTGGCAATTTGACATCTAACCGTCAGTGGTTAGTCAAACCAGCCAACCAACCAAACAGCGGTCGGTTGGAGAGCGGGTCTGAGCAACCCACAGTGAGATCTAAATACCTGTATATCCTGTGGTCTTCTTTGATGGCTGGAATAAGATCGGTGTAGTACAGGACAGCAAAGGATCCTAGAATCCACAACACTGTCTGTATGTTGTATGGTGACCCTGGTTCAGTCTCTGTCTCACCCATCTCTCTTCGTCTCTGTAGTTCCTCCAACCTCTTAGGGTCAATGTTCTTCAAGTCTGAGCAACAAGATGGTGTTAAAAGATGGAGTTAAGAATGAACTGCAGGTGTGACAAGTGTGCAGGAAGTTTGAAATAAGTGAAACATAGCATCAAATCGATTATGACCAGACTTTCGCACTTGGCAGTGGACATTAGCCTGTGAACCAGTCCCCCAACTGTTTTTTACTCTTCTACCGGCATAGAACTGAACATTCAGAGAGTATATTTTGGGATTTATGCAATGCATAATTTACCACTAAAAAATCTTTGGTTTCATTCACACAACTGTCATTGTGACTTCAAGTGCACAAGACTGGATTCAGATAAGGCTATAGTAGTACAATTTTATTTCTACAACTGAAAAAAAATCTTCCAGAGCCGTGAATCACAAAAAGCGATGAAATATTCTGCAAATCAATGTAGGGTTCAACTTAACACAATAAGTTTGAAAAACTTAAGAAAAACTTGATACAGCCCAAATTAGGTCTCAAACTGAGGGCATGAGTCATAAATGTTGTGCATCGATAACCAATGGCCAATCACTTGGTCACAAGGATCGCATTTAACAAGGAGAGTTCCATGTACGCACGATGCTAATCTTCCCTTAAAATGTTATCACAACCATGTGATAACATGTCCCAAAAAGTGAAATTTAGCTGAGAAAATTCCAAAGCATTTACTTAGCAAACATAGGCCTACATGTAAGTTTATGAAAGGGGCATCAAGTATTATTTCTTTTCTTTAAAAATTCCACGGGGTCAGTTCAAGTGTGACCGGGTGATGGCAAAATATAAACTAGAGTAGGCCCAATTGCAGAATACCCCGCCACTCTAAAAAACAACCCCTGGAATGACTGATTACGTGGGTACAAGGGGGTCGTACTAATCAGTGTCAACACACCGTCAACACATTGATAGTAACATCAACACACCGTCAACACTTGCAAAATGCATTGAAAACAGAAAACAGACGTATCGAACTATGATGTATACGCTTAGGAATAAATTCTATTTAACCGAGTTAACATTTTACATTTCAAGGGAGTTTTTTCACGCGAAAAAATTGTCTCTGAGCAGCGCCGCTGTTCGCCACCATCTTGCCTTCTCACGGCGTTTGGACCGTACCACGGTTCACTGTATAAAGGTGACCCTCTGTAGTGTAATGGTATGGTACGTCTGACCGAGAGGCAACATGGCTACCTTTCGTCTTTCGTGGCTGTGCGGAGGGTGTTATTTTCGTGAAATAAAATGGCTTTTTCCCCCCAAATGTCGCCCGCTGTTGTTAGCCAAATTGTATTTTAGCCTTTATATTGCTATTGAATTGCGTTTCTGTTAACTTAGAACGTGATTTGGGTGTGTTGACGTTACTATCATGTGTTGACGTTGTGTTGACGTTAATTAGTACGACCGGTACAAGGTGAAAATCCCTTGAGAAGAGCGTGACACTTTGACCTGTACCTGGCTATGAGGTTGAACATGCAGGGTATTCTGCAACTGAACTTAAAAACTTGGGTTAAAGGGGAGAAAATCTGAAGTTGCAGTGTACCACTGGGTTTCTTTCCTGGCAGTGCTCGTGGTGCATGATTGGTTTATATTAGAAGACATATCTAATACACCGACTGATCAATAAAATACTACATGTACCAATGGGCTCTTCCAAAACTTGGGCAGCAGATTAGATGTCTTGTCATGGAACAGCTGTCGAAAAAATGAGGGGTCAAGTGACGTAATGACGGAACGACCTTATTTTAAAGATGGCGACTGTGAGAGTGAGCCCATGAGATTGAATGGGTGAAGGCAAAAAGACTGGAAAATACCAGAACAGTGTGAGTGAAATCATTCAATAAATGGCGCTAAGAATGCGGAGAGGCTAAGGACCATCTCTAGTGTGCAAAAGAAATTGCGCCCAGGAACGATAAGTGGGTGCGCCGAAAATTTTCAGTACGCCAATATGAAATTGCGTAGTATACGGATGTGTGGCTAAGGATGGAGCAGGAGTGAGAGTCCGTGCCACACTAGTGGGGCGATAGAATTAGTATACTAAACAAGTTCTAAAATTAAAAAAAAAACATGTAGGCCTAGGCCGAAAGTCCTGACCTTTGCCATACGCTTGCATAAAAACTTGAGCAATTCTTCTCCTTCGAAGTTGGAACTCATCCTCTTCTTTTTCGGGCACTGGTTGGTCTTCGTTTTTTTCAGCCATAATGCTACAAATGCAGCAACTCAGTGTTCAGTTACTAGTACAACTACAGTCAACGTGCGAGTTGGCTTGAACCACAGAAAATAATGACGCCAGGCAACTTCTTCCACTTCAATTCCACAAGTAGGCTGGGCAGGCGTAGTTACCACGAACTAGTTCAGTGGTTGTCAATCGGTAAAGCCACAAATTAGTCTGGCTCCCTCCAAAGCTGATTTAAATAAAACAGAAGCAGAGCAGGGTAGCCAGACTTGTTCTTCCGGGTTTCATACACGATGGCACGCCTTGTGAGAGAAAAAAAGAAACCCAGCGTATGCCCCAAATGAAGCGCGTCTGCAGCGTTACGCGCGTGCCCTAGTTACGCGGACCGCAGCGCTCGCGCTTGTTCCGGAATGACCTTGCTTTTGTGGAGTACCGAAGTGGCTCGTTGTTACCCCGTCGGAATAGTCATGAAAATCAAGGGGCCCTGGTAATTATTTAATTGACACACAGATTCGCTGTATACAAACGGCTGTCAGATATATCCGTCAAGTCGGGATTTCTGAACTCACAGTAACAGTGGACACAAGAGGGCGCGAAACAAGTAACGACTCGCGGCCTCCACATCCAAAGCATAAAAAGATGAAAACGTCACGATTCCGACTTGAGTCTGGTCTACGTATTAGCCCGTCAGAGCAGTTGTAAATTCATTTTCTATCCGGATGTTGACGGAGGATGTTGATTGACTAAAAGCAGGTCAGCTGACTCGGACACGGCGCATTGGGGTGTTGTGACACGCATCAAAATGGATCAACTTCATCAGATCGAAGGCCCGTTTATTTCACACGGATTCGATCAGTGATCCTAAAGCCGGTTCTTTCTATGCGTACAGTTTAATAGGCGGGCCCGTTACTGAACAAGCGTCGGATCACTGATCGCAATCCGGATCCGCGTCAAACAAACAGGCCTCCAGTACGTTCAAGCCATAGTCTCTCAAAATATGGTAAATAACGCTGAAAAACTTTCAAGAACAACAGAGGGGAAAAATACGGACCCCAATTTCACTTGCACGCATCGTACTTTTCAGCCGAAGCCTTGTATAATCGGTTCCTACACTATCGCGGTAACTCTATTATCGTGGTATCGGAAATTTTGAATTTTGCATTGCCAGTTAGTTCCCAATCGGCAATATTTGCCCAGGTAATCAATAATTTATGGCCTGAGGATACGTTTTCTTGAAACAGTGAGAAAACTTCTGCATTTTCCGTAAATTTGACAGTGTTTAATAAAAGATGTAACTTTCCCGAAATTTGTAAATTCTCCTTGGCCGTGTTCGTCATTACCTACCGTCTATCTCTTCAACAGTTATTTATAACGCCACCTTGCCTTTGGATATCCGTTGCTGGGTTCCCATATGTCAATTTCAAAATGGTCGAAGGTGTCTAAAGGCACATTTTAACTGCGAAAATGCCCAGTTTTTTCGGAGTCACAATAAGGGCTTCTGCGCCGAAAAACTATTTGCGTGCGTAAAGCGCGCCCCAATCTCTATTACAATAGATTTGTATCAATCGTACTTTTACCCTCCTCGCCTGGAGCAATTAGCGAATAATTAAGTTGGTATTAGTGTCGCAGTTTTTTGCTTTTCTAATACATTTTGAAGTATCTGCAACGGATATTTAGAATTTGTAACATAAATTTTGGGATGGTTATATCTCTCGGAAAATTAAAACTCAGCAAGTAGACATTGTAAACAATTGTTTCAGACATCGATAAAAAGAACGAGTCCAAAAAAATTGAAATTTGCAATACACAAATATTTATTATTCCTTCGGCAAAACACCAATTTAAGTAATAAGATGAATGTCAAAGTTGTTGCTACATTCAACTTGAAGACTTGCGTAAACAAGTTCTGGTGAAAAAAAATGAGTCATTCCTTTTCGGATTAAACAGTACAAGGTAATGCAGTAAAATATTGTTCCCATCCCGTTGTCTCGGCGTTTGGCATCTTTAACGAGGAGACTGGAAAAATGGAGTCAATTACAGGTAAAAATGGAAGAGAATCATAAATGAGGCTAATTTGTTTCCTCTTAAACAAAACCATTCTTGTTATCCTTATTTATTCTACTGTCGTTGAAACTATTTCTCAATATCGCGTTAATAGATAGAGACCGCACCTTCGCTTGCATACGGTGCGCACACAGATTTTCTGAGCTATCGTAGAGGAAAATGAATCGAACCACAAACAAATTTTTTGAATCATGTTAAAAAGTAAGAGTTAAACATTAGCAGGGATAGGATAATTCAGGGAGGTGAGCGAGCAGTCTTTATTTCGATCGGGAAATGTGATAACTGCCGCGATAATAGAGTAACCCATCCTAAATACGACAGTAGACGCCCGTTGATTGCGGAAAAATCTGTAGGTCAGTACGAAGTCGTCTTGATAATTAATATTTGAATCTGCACATGTGTAATGATAGATACT